CCTGGGGCCTGTACCATGATGGTGGCTGAACAAACTCAGGGTTACAGGATTAGTGTCGACCAAACCAGTCCAAATCCGGCTTTGTTGGTACCATGAAGCTGATCATCAACTTTCTCTGTCAACTCAGACTTGATCCTGAGTTAATGGAGCACATGCACATGAAAGTGTGACATCAGTAATGAACAGCCAATCACATGCCTTGAAACTGTGATTCACTTCTCGCGAGAGAGTCACTACCAAAGATTAAAAGACTGAACAATATAAAGAATTTAAACACATTTATAAGATGAAACGATCTATCCATGAAAGAGGGAAACTTAAAATGTTTTAAGCTATTGATTCTAAAACTTATTTATATTGCATATCATCTATGTTTGTTAATTTAAAATAAATTCTCAATCAACGTGATTCTCAATTTATCCAGAAAAGAAAATAGTTTCAAAGTGCTTTAATTATTATTTAATTGAAATAATTTCTTTTTATGCGTCTGTTATATTTGAAAAATGTGTATAATTACACGGAATTCCCTGATTTACTCATGTTTAGTAGATTCAAATTGTGATGACTGTAATTATTTTAGATATTATCTGAAAATGATGTAGTGGACATTTTTAGTGGCGCTATATGGAAGTATTAACACCTGTATTGTTGTGCTGAGAAAACACAAACAAACAAAAGTACAAATATTGTAGACCTCAAAATGAATGCTCTATGTCTGGTTCAACATGTATACTTACGTGTTCAAAAAACCTAACTGAGGCAGTATGTGCAAAATGAAAACTTTTTAATGTGAGTGTCCAATTCCACATGTCCATCTTGTTAATCTCTGTGTCCGTCTTTCTGTCAGGTGGAAGGTGTGGGGCAGTACTTTCGGGAGCAGCTGCTGCAGTCTCGTCACAGGGGGGCGTTTGAACTGGCCTACGTGGGATTTGTTCGGCTCACTGAGATGCTCTGCAGGTGAGAGATCTAAGCCAATCAGATTGCTCGATCTGTCCCAGCGGTTATATAATAATGATTAAAACACACGTCCAGACTCATCAGCTCTCTGTGCAGTAAAATAGGCCCCTTGTCATTTACAAAATTCAAGATGTTTTCAACCCAAAGGCCTTAGTCAGAACAAGTGCGCATCTTTATTAATGAGGGAGTCATAAGGACTGCTCCACCAGAGCCCCTGATGTTGTGCTTGGCAATAATGCTTCATACCTGAATGAGTCCAGTCCTCCTCCTCCTCCTCAACCAGCATCCTGGAAACCAGCACTGCTCCTGAAGCACAAGCTTCAAATAATCTGGAAGTTTGAAAACTGTTAACATCTGGAAATGTGAGATTTAATGAGCTTTGGAATGTGGTCTCTGTGCAGAGGTTAAGGAAATTGACTCGCTCGCTGCCACGAGTGTGACATGAGTGGGACATCGGATCGCTTCTGCTGCTGTGGAGTTGCTGAGGGAGCGTCTTTAATGATCTGACTCCATTCCTGCCTTCTGCTTTCCTCTTCTGCTTTTAATTCGCTTCTCTGCAGTTTCTACTTCGTTTTCATGAAACTCTTTTGAAATTTGAAAACAATCAGTGTCCAGTGTTATTATCATAAACTTAAATGATTAAACATATTTTTGTTAATTGAAATAAAGCTAAAATTAAATAGAAATATTTATTTATTTAAAAAAAAAAATTAGAAATGTTGCCTTGGCAACTATCTGAAATAAGTTTAAGTACTAAAATCAGGTTTTCGGTTGGTCTAAAAGGTTGTAGAAAATCTTAAATTAAATTTAAAGAAATTAATTAATTAATTTAATAATTCAATTAATTAAGTCATGGCATTAAATGTTGCATGCATTGCAAAAAAAAAAAAAAAAAGAATATTTTCATCAGTATTTTTGTTTTCCAATAAAAATATCTGAACATCCTTAAATCCAGATACTTAAGATGCAAATGTAAAATTAAGTCTTAAAACTAAACAGAATTAAGCGAGTTCATGCTTAAAACAACATAAATATCTGTCAATGAGGTATGAAAACTTACTTTTTTTTTTTTTTGGCAAATATTTTTAGTAATGAACTTTTTTTCATTTCGTTTTGCTTCTCAAGTAAGTGTATCACGGTATTTAGAAGTGCCCACGATAACAATATCGTGCATATTCATTACCGTGATATATCGCATTACGGAATACCATAAACAAGACAAAAATGCATCACTTTTTTTTTTGCAGCAGCAGAAATACAGTAAAAATGTACTTATATTCTTGTGGTTGGGAGCAGAGGTATTTAAGCCTAAAGGTTTTTCTTTTTTAGCCCTAAAAGGTCTTTAAAAAGTCTTTAGTTTACTTTCATAAAACCTGCAGAAACCCTGAAAATTTGGAATAATATTGAAACTGAAATACTAATAAATTGCAACTGTTTAGAACTATTTAAAAAATGACAAAAAAGACAAAATAATCTAACATTATTGAAAAAAAAAATGAATATGAAAACTGAAATATAGAAAAATAAAAGCTAATTGAAAATAATAACTCTAATTACATACAAAATAATACAAAAATAACACTGGTCGTAGCTGTTGTTTAATCTGTTAGGAGTGATAAATACAGTTTTGTTTATACAAAGCATATACAATAACAGAAGAGACTCGTTTACGTTATCAAGACTCACAAACGAAATTTGAAAGTGAGTTTGGTTAATGTTTTCTGCATAAATATCAACAACCAGTTGTTTCTTCATTTACATCCATACGACTTGAGACAAGCACTACACGTTAATCGCAATGTTGGTGCTGCCAAACTCTCTCAGGTTATGAGAAATGGAGAAAAGTAGGTGTATTGTGTGCTTTTAAGTGCTTGGGCAAAGACAAAAACTGAACTAGATTAAACTGGAAAGTTATTGGACCGCGTATCTGAGAATAAAAGAAAAGTGGGCACTACATACCATAATGAAGCCAGACCTGTTCGTAAATATGTTTTTTATTAGTGTGTAATACTGACTAGCCTTTGAGATGTAGTGCTCAAGTGGGTGATCTGTTTTTTTTTCTTCTGTTTTGTCATATAAGTCACTTTTCTAGCATCCCTATCTATTAAAAAACAGGCATGCAAACAAATGCTCAAACCTGAGATGGCAAAGTTTTTTGAAATCCCCGAGGAAGCGTTTGTGGTGGATGGGCCTGCATTAGCAGTTGTGTCTGTATGGAGTCTCAGAGGTGGTTCTGGAGGAAAAGCATTGCTGTGTGATTACACGGCTCCACCGGCAACCACTAAGCCCGTTACGAGGTGTTGATTGTGGGGCGTTCGACGCCTGCCTTTTGAAGGTTTCCCCTTATGTTTGGGGTAGTGTATTGTGTGTGTATGGTCTGGATTGTTTGATCTGGCCTGTTCGGTCCAGCGCGTCTGGTATAACGGTACTTTTCATAACGAGAGCCTCGCATTTTTCTCCGCTCTCAAAGTGGGCGTCCTGCACACGCTTGGGCAGCTCCTGCTATGTGTTTGTGTGTGTATTCAACCGAGGTTTGCAGTGTAATTACAGTGCTTGCTTAGGCAAGCATCTCTCTTATTATTGCTCATACTTTGGAATAGGGTTTTGAACAAACTTTTAACATGAAATATTAATCGTTGTTGTGTAACTCATCATGTACTGTTTGTGCTACGAACATGAATGATTGCTTAAATGGTGTGGCTTACTGAGATTTCTTTTATTAATCATGGCTTTGTGAGTAAAATAATTTTCCTGTAGCATTTGCTACAGTTAAAAGGTTTGGGTGCTTTTATGCTTTTGGTAAGAAAGAAGTCTATTTTGCTCACCAAGGCTGCATTTGTTTGACCAAAAATGCAGTAAAAATGGTAATATTGTGTAATATTATTACTATTTCAAATAACTCTTTTCTATTTGAATATATTTTAAAATGTAATTTATTCCTGTGATGCAAAGCTGAATTTTTAGCATCATTACTCCAGTCTCCAGTGTCACATGATCTTTCAGAAATCATTCTAATATACTGACTTGCTGCTCAAGAATATATCTAATTATGATCAAACAGTTGCGCAGCTTAATATTGTTTTTGGAAACCATGACTGACAACAGAGCAAGTCTCTGTATGATTGCACAACGAAAATGATGTTTATCTTCACAGCTTTTCCTCTGTAGTATAACTTGGCTCTAGTCTGACATTTTCCCCGAATGAGTGTTTAAATTAAATTAATTTTATAGTCTGTGCTTTGAGATCACATTTGGATGTGATTTGATTTTTAGATTGCTTTGAAAACTGTGGATAATATCACATCAGAGAAAACATAAACAGAAATGTCTGAGAGACACTGGGAACCACACAAACTTGGATACCAACAGTCCTGGGAGAAAATGTCTTGTTCAGAATTCCACAACAAGGTCTTGTGTGTGTGTGTGTGTGTGTGTGTGTGTGTTAGGAGTGGGAGCGCTACGCTGCAACAGCTGCCAGCACACTGGCTGAAGGAGGTTCTTGAGGAAGTGAAATCCAGTGACCCCTCCTCCAAACTGTGTGCGACCCGCCGCAGTGCAGGAATACCCTTCTATATACAGGTTCGTACCTTGGGCCTCCTTTATGTACGGCACAGACCACTAGCTCTCTTATCCTCCCAAATTAATCATTTACACCTAAAGAAACAATAGCACTTTCCTCTTGTATAAATTTCTAAATTTAAAGTTTACTAATTAGAAATCCCCCCACTATATTTTCTTAATACATCTTATTCATTCTATTGTGAATGATTTGTGCATGAACATTTTTTTTTTAGCTTAGCTTTGTAATGAGCTTGTAAGCTCTAATCAGTATTGTAACTCGATTTTCCAGTGAAATGACAGGTTTCTCTCTAATGACATGTCAGACTTTTTCTAATCATTTAGTCTGCTTAAACACCACTCCTTTCTTACTTTATAATCGCCTGCAAGCTCACATTTAGATCTGCCTCCATCCAATCAACAGCCGATGGATAAAACCAAGTCCCCGCCCTACATTTACTCCACCCAGTAATCCATTTCTCTTTAATCTACAACATAATACAGAACGTACGTTACACTGCAATTGCAACTTTTTAAATAAAAATAATAAAACCTGGGGAAAAAAAGGATTTTTAAAAACATGAAAACAGGAAAGTTATGACATTAAAATAGAAAGTAAAATAAAAGTTTTTATTAGTAAAATAAAATAAAATTAGTATAGTAAAATAAAATATACATTTCTTAAATAAGTGAATTTGTAACACTAATCACGAGTAGGGGTGTAACGGTACACTTATTCATACCAAACATTTTCAGTATGGGACTTTCAGTACAGTATGCATGTGTACCAAACAAATCATTCAATTTTTCTCAGGAAATTCAGACAATAATATCGTTTTGTCGCTCTTTGATGTGCCGTGACAGATCGCTGTATGAACGCCTCGGTTTTACCGTAAAATAAACATGAATGAACATCTCATGCCTCATGTAATCGCTCAATCAGTGTTTCAATTGCGAAAAGACGTCATTAAAACAGCTTGTAAACAAAATGTCACGTAGCATTTTATTTACCTCAGGCAAGTCATCAGTGTCCACAGCTCATTAGTTCACTAGAGAAATGAAGTGTAGAGAAGTGAAATATTAGACTCATTATATTTTACTTTACCTGTTAGTGTTCTTAATTATTTAATGTATGTTTAAATAAATCTTTTATGAAACAAGTTATGACAGCCACTGTGTAAATTATTATATTTCAACAACAAATAGAAATTTTATAATTTAGAAGTTAATTTAAAAACGGCATTGAGTGCAATATACATGTTTGCATAGAATTTTTTTGAGTGTTGATTATTATAGTTAAAAATAAAATAGTAGCCTAATTGAATTTAGCCTGTTGTTAATTGTAACCTTCCTAATGTAAAAGGGCTCCCTATAACTTAGAGCAGAAGCTGAGGTAGATTTTTTTTATTTTGTTTTTTTTATGAGGTAGATTTATAGAAAATTGTAATTATAATTGAATTTATTTAAAGAAAGGGCAATTTGTTCAGTAAACCATTGTTTAATTAAAAAACAACAACAATTTGTTTAGTTTTTCTCCTCCTGCTGTACAGAAACCATACCGAACCGTGATCTCAAAACCGAGGTACGTACCGAACCGTAATGTTTGTGTACCGTTGCATCCGAAATCACGAGTGTTTCTGTCATTTAAGTACACGCAAAACAAAACGATGTTTGAAGACATTATCATATTAACTAAAAACTGAATGCATACATTTCAATGGGGAAAAAAGTTTTACATTTTCACTAGTGGTCTACTAGTGGCTGTATACAAGTTGCAGTATTAATAGGTAAATAGGGTATTTTACAGTGTATTTATAATGACAAAAGTATGGAGTCACTTATTTTGAATTGTAGGGACCAATTCTCACTATTAACTAGTTGCTTATTAGCGTGCCTATTATTAACATATTGGCTGTTTATTAGTGCTTATAAAACATACTTTGCATGACCATATTGGTCACACTTTATTTTAAAGGGTTACTTCACCCCAAAATGAAAATTTTGTCATTAATCACTTACCTTCGTGTCGTTCCAAATCCGTAAAAGCTTCGTTCGTCTTCGGAAAACAATTTAGGATATTTTGGATGAAAACCGGGAGGCTTGTGACTGTCACATTGACTGCCAAGTAAATTACACTGTCAAGGTCCAGAAAATTATGAAAGACACAGATACGTTTTCTAACGTTTGTTTACGCTTTGATTTGAACGAAAACAGCGCATCCGTGTGGTGCGGCTGACAAGTAGAACAGTATACGCAGTTTACGTTCAGTGGACACTCTCCAAAATGGCGCTACTGTGACGCGGAGGAGACGAATTGTTGAATAAAGTCATTATTTTTGTTTTCTTTGCGTACAAAAAGTATTCTCGCCACTTCATAACGTTACGGTTGAACCTTTGATGGCAGATGGACTATTCTGACGATGTCTTTCATACTTTTCTGGACCTTGACAGTGTAATTTACTCGGCAGTCAATGTGACAGTCACAAGCCTCCCGTTTTCATCCAAAATATCTTCAATTGGGTTCCGAAGACGAACAAAGCTTTTACGGGTTTGGAACAACATGGAGGTAAGTGATTAATGACAAAATTTTCATTTTGGGGTGGAGTAACCATTTAAGGTCCAATTCTCGCCATTAAATACGATTTTTGCCTCACACTCCTAATTTGCTGCTTATTAATAGTTAGTAAGGGAGTTGTTAAGTTTAGGTATTGGGTAGGATTAGGGATGTAGAACATGTGCTTTATAAGCACTAATAAACAGCCAATATGTTAATAATAGGCATGCTAATAAGCAATTTTGGTGTTACCACCATATTCTACATCCCTAATCTTACCCAATACCCAAACTTAACAACTACCTTACTAACTATTAATAAGCAGCGAATTAGGAGTTTGAGGCAAAAGCCGTAGTTAATGATTTGTTAATGGCGAAAATTGGACCTTAAAATAAAGTGTTACCAAATTGTACTTATATTTTACCAACATTACTTATATTTTACTTATATAAATGCTACTTTTATTTAGCAAGGACACATTGAAGTGACACTAAAGACTTTTACATTTTCATAGATTCCTCTTTTAAATAAACGCTGTTCATTTGAACTTTCTATTCATCAACGAATCCTGAAAAAATGCATCACGGTTTCCACAAATGTATTAGGCAGTGCAACCGTTTTCAACATTAATAATAATAATAATAATAACAAGAAGAAGAAGAAAGATGCTCTTATAATAGTGTAGTTGCCGAATCTATTAGCAGGGGCTACGTAAACATAAAATTACTTTGGTGAACCTTTAATGCCTAGAGGTACTTAACTGTAAAATTCCCCACAAATGTGTGTGATGTATTAGTTGCATAGTACCTCCAAAACAATCATACTTGCACAAATAAGTAATAACCTGACAATCTCTGAAGACAGGAATTAGTTTCATTAGTGTTACTCGAACATCTGCGGATCGTTAATTGATTCCATATAGTTTTTATGATGGAGATCATCCCTAGTGGACAGTCCTCTGAGAGGTCAGAATAGCTGAATACTGAAGTCAAGGAAAAAATGGGCTTTGGATCTGAAATGCAAGACAATGAGAGGGTTTTAGGGAAGAATGAGACAGGGAGAGGATGGATAGACTCAACACCTGGCATGAGTGCACATTCCTGCGGTATGTCCCGGAAAAGGTGGTCTTGCGCGATGAGTTCACACCCTTTGGCACGAGGACAAAAGAACAGAGGCCGTATTCGGTTACACACTGTGAGTCATTTTTCCTCTGTCATTCACTGGTCCCGTCTCAAAGGAATGTGCTGTCTGAAATACAGCTTAAAGGACAGTTCACCTAAAATTGAAGCTTCTGTCATCATTTACTCAGCCTCATGTAATTCCAAACCATGTCAAATGTGTGGGAACTTGCCTGTTAATCTTCCGTTGTAAATGATAGCTGTAATAATGTTGTCTCTTTGTAGGCCCTGCTGTCCTCTGAGCCCAAATCATCCAGCTGTGGACTCCTGAAGATGACCATGAGATCTCTGACAGCATTGGCTATGCCCTCTAATGATGCAGATACTGAGAGCAGCTCTGTGCCACAGGTGGACACACACACACACACTTCTTCTCTAAGAGGAAAATATGAGTAGAATCAGGCCTGTTTAATAGGTCCTTGTTTTTATGTACGTACAGGTCCACGCTCTGAACATCCTGAGGGCTTTGTATCGAGACACACGTCTGGGGGAGAACATTGTGCCGTTTGTGTCAGATGGCATGCAAGCTGCTATCCTGGGTTTCACTTCTCCTGTGTGGGCCGTGAGTATACCCTTTTACTTATTTTTATGCAATGTCTATGTAGGTTCCTTCAATAACAAAAAAAGTATGGCTTTTCAGACATGGTTGACCACAGAATATGTATCTCGAAGTACCATCATGCCATTTTATTAGATATAGTGGTAACACATTATAAAGGTATACATAATGTACAGTGTAATGAATTATATCTTTTTATAAATAATTCTAAAATGCATTATAATATTGGAAGGTTTGTTTGTTACATGTTTTAATGCATTATCATTTCTACAGGTGTAACAGTTAACAGATAAGTATTTTAATGCATTATAACTGTGATTATAATTATTATTAAGATCATACAATGCATTATAAGGTCCATTATAATGCATAATAAATGCACTAAAACTAATCTTATAATGCAATAGACATATAAAGACTTACATAGAGTAAAGTGTTGCCGACATAGTCAATTCATTTTATTTTAATATATAGTATACACTGTGACTGCCGTTCTTGTCTACATCTGCTGTCTGTGTGACGTCACATTGACAGGCATCTGAGATCGGCTCGATATGAGAAAGGGGTAAAGATTTTAGTAGATTCAAAAAAACACTGGGTGGATTTTTATCATTATAGGGTGGTTGTGTGGTGTGGCTGACTCTTAACTTTTATAAAGAATATCTCTTTGGATTTGAGACTTTAGTCTTTGCAACTTTACAGATCGTCTTTATGCACCAAGAGCTTGTAACACTCCAAAGAGAAAGGAAAAAATGAAATTGCATCATATGACCCCTTTAAATATTTTTCAGTTTGACTTGAAGCATCCAAATATACATGCATTGCACAGACTAAACATATTTCATTTTATTGTTTTGTAAAAGGGGCTTAAAGTGTATATAATCCTTTCTCACACTCATTTGTTCACTGTTCCTCACGTACAGTACACCACCCTGTCAGGCCATAGCTGTTGCTGAGGCACTGACAGGTTGATAATTAAAGTGAATGAGAACACTAGGGACAGGAGCCGTACGTGCGGACACACACACGCGCACACACACACGCACACACACAGCTGTGCGGTGGTCCTGGCCGATTGCCTTAGATTGCTCGCTTTGATCACCTCCACATGGGCGACTCGGCTCCTACAGGTCACGATTGCGACAACTCCAGGTCACATTCCTGTGCTCTCCTCCCTCATACCTGTCTGTCTGCTTTTACGTCTCTTTCATACATCTCTCTTCACTTCATTTTCTTCACAAGATGTCAAAAGATCTGCTACTGTAGCCGTTTGCTTCTTTACTGCAGCGCTCCAGCCAGCAGGCTTTACTGTAGAGTACAGTAGGCCTAATCCTTCCCAGAATGCAGCAGTCAGTCAGTCACAGAGAACACACACAGTCTTCTTGTAGTCTGTGAGGAATGTTTCTTAAGCTGACCTAAAAATGTGATCAAAGTTATGAGGCAGTAACACTTCGAACATTAAGTTTGGTGTGTCCTGCATTACTTTAGCCACATAAGATTGTGATTTGAAGGCCTTTTACTGTTCCTGGAACAAGATGTCATCAGACCCTGCAAATCCTGCATGACGTGGACTTTGTGACTCTTGTACACCCTTGAGCTCCAAGACCAATTTTTGCATTGTAATCGTCTCGAGGGCCATCATCATGTGCTCTGACTCACTACTCTCTCATGTTAAATCATATCTTTTTATTACATTTCCCCCCTGAGGTCTATTTAAAGAAATAATCCACCCAAAAATGAAAGTTTTTCCTCTTTGCTCACCCTAAGTTGCTCCAAACCTGTATGACTTCCTTTCTCCTGTGAAACATGAAGATATTTTGAAGAACGTTGGAGTTCATTGACTTCCATTGTATGAACACAAAACAACACTGACGCATTTCTCAAAATGTTTTTTTAATGTGCCACAGAAGAAGTGACATAACGTCGTACAGACATAAGTTTGAGTAAATATTTATTTTTTTGTAACTATCCCTTTGAAGTGTTAGTACCAACAGTCACTATTTCGTTTTCATGAGCATTTTCTACTTTTCCCTAACATTAAGTCAAATTTTAAGTCCATTTTTCACTGCTTTGTCTTAAAAGTTGCAGTCACATTAGCAGAATTTGGGTGAAATTTTACAGGCATTGTCAATCCATTGTCTGCTGTCAATAGTGTTGCGATTACCCATTACGAAATCAGCATGGGCAAATCTGGCTGTAGAAGTTAACATGTTGTTAATTCTATTTGCATATCAGTCTATAAGTGTATTGCTGGCCTACAGTCCACAGCAATCCATTTGCATTCAACATCATTATCAGTCTGAACTTGACTCACAGAAAGCATTTTCTATATTTTCGTTTCAATCGTTTGCAATATTTGTTTTAATTGTCTGTCTGTGTGCACAGCATACTGATGTTTGGAGTAGCCACAAGCGATTTGAAAATGAAGATTTTAAGATTTGAAATGAAGTTGACCTCTTTAATGTAATATTGTGCGTCAAAGCTCGAATGATTAATGTACATCTCTCCATCCTGTCCTCTTTCTAGGTGAGGAACTCCTCGACTCTCCTGTTCAGCACTCTGATCACACGGATATTTGGGGTAAAGAAGGGAAAAGATGAGCACTCCAAAAAGAACAGGTGTGACTTCAGTTGTTTTATGTACCACTCCCAACTACACTGTAAAAAAAAAAAAACAGTAGTTGAGAACACTTTAAGAAGACTTATAGCAACCAGTTTCATGACTTTTTTTGTTTTTTTTTTACTTCGAATTTAACTTAATTTTTAACTTCAGCTCAACTTACAGAAGAATTACCTGTCAACTTAAAGTCGGTCTGTGCTTTCAGGAAACATAATAAAACAAGTTTTATAAACGTTATTAACTTGTGAATCCAAGTTTAATAAGATATTAATATTGATTATTAATATTACACATTATTAAGGTAAAACACTCTTATTTTGGCAGACCTTTCCACTAAACAATTAAAGGTTGCTTAACATGTGTATGAGTTAGTTGCACAAAAGGTCATATAGAGTTGTTTCTATGCACCAAAATAACTTTATAAAACTTGCTCGATAAAATTAAAGAAACTTCACCAAAGCGACTACTACTTACCCTCATAATGAAACAAAACATGACTTTTTAAACAGAACTTATTAAAAACACTAAACGGGTCAGCACCGATAGCCTTGTATGTGCCTCTATACTGTCCTATAGTAATAAAAGGCAAAAACGCAAAAAAACAAACAAAAAAAACACTAAACTAGGGCTGGGCGATATAGCTAAAAAATGTGTCAACGATATAATGTTTCATATCATTCGGTATCACAAAAAGAATAGAATTTTTTTTTTTTATTTAACCACTGTATTTTTAAATTAACCCAATTTATTGAGACAAACAACAAATCTTTTTTGTTTTAACAGTCAAACACACAATAAAAATTAAACGAATATTTAATTTCTAATGTTTTATATGCAGATTGAATAGGTCTTAAGAAAACTTTTGGCTTGTCTCCCGAGACCACAGGAGGGTGCAATGAGCAAAATAATGCAGCACATTTAAATGTTCAACGCAAGGAAATAACTGTCTATAAAAAAACGTGCATTACGTCTAAATTTACTCATATAAATCAAATATAATTTCGTAAATTGCATAAACAATTATGAACAAAACAGCATCATGTATTTATGCATTGCTTAAT